AAAGAAATATTGTCTAAAGCGCCGGTTCTACAATTTTACAATGAAAAAGAGCCGATTACTTTATCAGTTGACAGCTCAAAAGACGGTCTGGGAGCGGTTATCTTACAAAACGAGGGTCCAGTAGCATACGCTTCGAAAAGCTTAAATAAATCACAACAAAATTACGCACAAATAGAAAAGGAAATGCTTGCCATCACCTTCGGATGTCAGCGTTTTCACCAATATCTTTATGGGAAACATTTCCTGGTAGAAACAGACCATAAGCCGTTAGAGGCTATTTTTAAAAAACCATTAAATGACTGCCCCTTGCGCCTGCAGAGACTACGAATTACTTTAGGAAATTACGATTTTACGGCGAAATATAAACCTGGATCGCAATTATACTTCGCGGATACACTTAGTAGAGCAAGTTATGTTGATAAAAACTTTTCAATAATGGAGGAATCTGATGCGCAAATTAACATGATTTATGACGATAATATCATAAGCCAGAATAAATTACAAAAAATAGCGAAAGAAAATGAAATAGACCCTGAAATGTCCAAATTAATAATAACTATTAAACAAGGTTGGCCTGATCACAAAAGCAAACTGGAGTACACTTTAAGACCTTATTGGAATCATAGAGCAGAGCTAGTCATAATAGACGGAGTAATTTTCAAAAATCAACAAATAGTAGTTCCAAAAATTTTCAGAAAAGAAATGATAGCTAAATTACACTATAATCATTTAGGCATAGAAAAAACAATATTGCGAGCAAAAGAGGTAGTATTTTGGCCTCTGATCAGCAAAGAGATAGAGGATTTAGTCAGCAATTGCCCAACTTGTTTAGTCTGTCAAAATAAAAATCAAAAAGAGCCAATAATTAATAGAGAGTTACCCAGTAGGCCATGGGAAATGGTCGCTACTGATTTATTTGAATTAGACGGTATAAGTTACTTATTAGTTGTAGACTATTTTTCGAAATATCCGGAAATTGTTAATCTTAAAAATAATACCACATCCGAGTGCATTATAAACAAATTAAAAGATATTTTTGCTCGGTACGGTATTCCAGATAAACTCCTTAGCGATGGAGGTCCGCAATATTCTAGTACAAAATTTAAAAATTTTACGGAATTTTGGGAAATAAAACATATATTTTCAACACCCACGTATGCTCAGAGCAACGGCTTTATTGAGAGGCATGTCCAATCTATTAAAAGATTATTAAAAAAGTCGATACTGGATCGAAAAGATATTTACTTAAGTTTGTTAGAATACAGAAATACGCCTTTAGGTCATAATATACCTTCACCTGCAGAGTTAGTTTTTAATCGCAAAATTAGAGGTATATTACCTGTTCACAAGAACTTTTTAAAGAATAATCAAGTGGATTACAATCAATATCAATCACACTTAAATAAAAGGCAAATCCAACAAAAAGTTTATTACAATCAACACTCCAAAACTTTACCAGAATTGTTTATTAATGATAATGTTATGATTTGGTTAAAGGAGGAATGGAAACCTGGTAAAGTTGTGGAAATTGATAAAAATAGACCCAGGTCATACCTGGTAAAAGTAAATTCTAGTAATAGACTTTATTATAGAAATAGAAAATTATTGAAAAAAATGACTGTTAATAATTTTAAGAACAATAATGACGAACTTTTTGAGGAATTGTTAGACCGATATCTTAATAATAATACTGTCTCAAACCCAAAAGATAATATAGACAATAGTCAAGATCAACAAGAAAGGGGACGAGATAGTGTTATTATACAAGAATCACGCTGTAGGGTTAGTGATAGAAATAGTGTAGCTTTGGAAAGAGGAAAGGAAGAAACGCGAAAATCTGGAAGAAAAACTGCTAAGCCCAGATACCTAGCAGACTACACTACCTAGGCGCTTTTCTTTCTGTCTTCTTATTAAAAAATAAAAATAAGTTGTGTTATTTAAAATCAATATAGGAGGGGGATGTTGTATACTTTTGGAATACAGTTTGTAGTATAGTTGGTTGCCTAATGACATTAATAAGTGAGTGCTGCCAAAACAATAAAAACAGAGTGATTATCACAAAATGGTGTTTGTCTGTATTACAATTGTTTAAGTTATAATTAGATTAATAATAAATAGTGAATTGAACTACAATGTGTTTTAATAAACATAACATTATTCACTTTTAAACAATAAACAATTTTCCGCAGCGATCGCGTGTAAAGTACCTTCAACTGAAAGCGTTAAGTTTAAACTGATGTATAAGACAAAATATACGTATTTTATATAATTTTTTTTCAATACAGGATGGAGACAGGTATTAACAACCTATCTAACTCAAAATTTACCTGAAAAAAAATGTAAATTTTTGAGGTTTTGCCGATATTTTCGAGAATTGAAACACTGTGCGTTGTAAGAATAATAGTAACGCCCTGTATTTTAAAAATAAAGCGTATTCGTGCACCAATTACCTTGAATAAAAAGTAAATAAAACTAAATTAATTAAAACTCCACTCTAATTTCCTACATTATAATAATTGTATAAATTACTTACATATCATAGTAAGATCACAATGAACTTAAAACTATAAAACAATGTTTCAAGTTTACACGTTACAACACTTTTTATCACGAAAAACCTTTTTTTGTTATTTACACCTAATATGCTACACCAAGGAAAATACAACACGATAAAAACACAAAACGATAAAACTACAAAAGATCGTTGTATCAATAAAATATTTACTAAAGTGGTTTTTGAACCGCTGTGAATCAAACTTTGTAAGCGGATGCTGGATATTTTTATGTTACACAGTTAATTTGGTGAGTATCAAGTGTAAAACTGATGCATCAGTTTATCATGATAAACTTGTTTGGGAATAAATAAAAAACAACAGTTAGTATAGGTACTCTTTTACAGAGATGTAACATCTCAGATGTTGTAAAACATTATGAATATCTTAAATACGCATATTAAATCTAATAATATGTAATTTTTGTTAGTTAATAAATGGAAAAAACCAAAGATGTGTCTATAATTAAAAGTAATAATAAAATTAATTAATTAATGAGATGTTTCTATAATTCATTTAAAAGAATAATGAACTACTTAAATCTATAAAATGCAAACATGTGTTCAGTGGCGGACACGAAATTTTCAACGTCATAATTTGGTTGTCCATGTATACTCTCTAAAAATGAGTTAGTCAAAAATGACTAATTTAATAGGTATTAGTGGCTGCTTTTTCACTTGTACCATGGTTAATCATGGAATACCATGGTATCCCAAAATGTAACAGCCAATTCTTATGTAAAATTGTCCACTGAATCCGAAAATGTTGTCAAAAGTTAAAAAAAGTATAATAGTTTTTGAGATATAGTCAATTTTCTATTTAATATGGAATTGACTGTATCTCAAAAACTGTTCCACATTCATAATTTTTGACGTTATTAGGCTAAATACTTTTTTCCCTTCCTGATGGAGCCTCAGTCAAAAAGAGTTTCGCGACTGCCTCACTCATATTAATAGACCAAAATTTTAAGGAATTGTTTGTGTTCTACATTTCTTCGAAATTGCGTTTTTATAACTTTCTTGCCCATTCAATTCATTATAATACTTTCTTTTTATTATTTTAACCAAAACTAACTAGGGCATACTTTGTATATCTTTTAAAAGTAATTTACTTACTTAAGAGCACTTCTGGTGAAACCAGAAGTGACAAAAATATCTTAAATATGTCAAAAAGCTCTAAATTACACTTTACTACTCTAAAATCGATGATTCTGTCCACAAAGAAAAAATACAGGACTCATCGATTTCGGTAAAAAAAACTCTAAAAAAAAGACCATATTTGTTTATAACTTTATTAAGTAGTTTTGTTTTTACGATTTTTTGTAGCAATTATGTTTAATATTGACAATTTTACCTATTTAGTAAATACAATTAATATTTTTAATTATTTAATATTTTTATCCCATTCTGGGACATTAAGGTTGGTCCAAGGACGTCCTAGAGACGTTTGTGTTTGATGGGAATTAATTCATGACATGTTTAAATATTCTTAAGAAAAAAGAGCAAAAAACGCAGTAAAAATCACAATTGATTCCATTTCGATTTGTTTTACGTTTACGTATTAATTTTAAATCTAAGTAAGCGTGGTTTTTGAAATCCCGTTATTGACATCTCTGAGATGTAAAAAAAATAATCCCACGGACGTCCCTGTTGTTGATTAATTTGGGACTTTTGTTATATGAGCGGGACATCCCCATTCAGGACGTTCAAAACCAAAATGGAATATCCCAAGGACCAAGAGTGTTATTGTGGGATATTTTTAGAATAATGAATCATCAGGTGGTTATGCCGCATATAAAAAATGTAATGCCTATATGTATACCTTATAACCTGGGATAGGTTATATACTCCGGCAGCTCTCGTGTCTGGGTGCGTAGGTCTGTAGGTCTGTATTTCCCATACTTACATTATGGCCTGGGCGTCAGCACAACTTTAAAGAGTACAATAACCTAAGGTTGTGGTCATTACGTTAAACTCAAGGTTTAGTTACTTACTTATATTTCAAATGAAAATTATATTTTACTTTACTTGATGACAAATCAATTACTGTTAAACTTTAATATATAAAATGTTAAAATCATGTACCGAATAGCTATTGGTTTACACTAGACAAAAATGGTTATAAAATAATGTTTCATAATTTACTGCAATGCAGTTTTAGCAAGGAGTAGGGTTACTGGAATTCTGGTATACTCATTCCGAGGGCTGGATCGTGCTCCAAGGGTGCTGTCATAAAATCGATCTTTGGGACAACCAACACCAGGTTGACCATGGACTCCTCCATAGGAAAATCCCACAGGAAAAATAGTTCGCTACAGCTACGATAAGCGAAGACCAGGAATACCCTCTCCAGAAAACGTGCCCCCAAAAAAAACCTTAATTGAATAATACTTTGAATCAAAATTAGGTTACTACAACAAAAAAATACCTTAATAATAAGACCTTAATAACCTACATAAATAATAGTACTACAATTATTAAAGCTTTTTATTAAAAATTAAGGTTCCAAAAATGTAAATCCTGCATGTAAAATTGTTTACATATCTTTTTACGATTATTTTTATAAAAAGCGAATAAAATGTAAAAACATGAATATTGCTTGGTGTTATTGATGGTGTATTTTAGAAGGATAATTAACAACTATTTTACAAAATGTTTATAAAATTCTTAGAAAAACTGATCACATGGTCAATTTTAAGGTGGTACTTTCAGGAATTCTTTACTTTTTCTTCAATAATAATGACATTAAAGAAAAAGCTGGTTCTTTTAGTGACAACTCGATTATAACAAAGGCTTTGTTATCTATGGGTTATAGTGCAAGTTTGTTATACTTTTCGTTTATTTGTTTATTTTCAGCTTATATATATATATATATATATATATATATATAAACATTGTTTGACACATCTTCTGTCACAGATTCACGTTTTCCGCTTTTTCATTTACAAAATTTGGCAACCCTTTATCTAAATAATGTACATACCATTTATTATACTTAAATTGCTTTGAATTATAAGGATATACATACATATCATAACTAAGTATTATAGCGTTGACTGGTTATAGGAAGTAATAAAAATAAAAATAATTTCTACTTATCTGCTATGCTTAGACATTTACATTGGTTATATAATTTTATAAAATAAAAACTATTAATTGGGTAATCATAACCGTAAAGAATGAAAATAAAATATATTAAACCTAATAAGCAAATCATGGTCTATATAAACCATAACCACCTCCTGGTGGCCCGCTAGGACCTCGTTTCTTACATCTTGTACCAAAAGTTAAATCGTCAACTTTCTCCACTAAAATCCTGAAATTTACGTCATTTACATCTATTGAATGATCAGTTACTCTTTGGAATCTCGAAGTTACTGCCCAGAGCTCTTGATAGTTTTTTTTATAGTTATTAATAACCTTAAACAATACAAAAAGTAATATTTAGTATGGTATACCTACAGTAACATTAATATTTATACTTTTATTCCACTTAAAAATTGTAAAGTTTCTTTATTATTTGCCACAACTTCCCAAAATTTAGATCCATATTCTGGAGCTTTCGTATTCCAACATATCAATTGGACTTCACTCATCAGTCCAGAATAAGAAATGCCATCTTTATCTATAGCCATAGCCGCACTTTGCGTGTCCCTTCTGGCCCTGTATGTCTAAAAAAAAAGTAATTAATACTTATTAAAATAATTTGGTAAAAAGCTTACATGGAAAATTTTTGGAGATGAACCTGGATTACTTGCAAACCTTGATTGATTTTTTAAGTCGGAAGTGTATACCCAGTTTAAGGTAGGACTTGACATAGCTTGATAGAATAATTTTCTATCACCTCTATTTAGAGGTTCCAAGTCCATTCCCAAAATACCATCCATCAAGTCAAAACTATGACCTATAAAAAAATTAGTTAATCATCTGATTTTTTATTGAAATAAAAAAAATGGTAGGCATTTCTTATAAGAAAGTCTATTCTTATTTAAAGGGTCATACTTTATGACGTATTCAATAATTACTATTCATATATTATATTCTTTATGGTATACCCATGTTTTATATACTCTAAAGCAAAGTATAGTATACATATGTATATGTTTAAGTTAAAGTGGGATTTATAATTTCATCTACCTAAAATGTTGAATGTTCCATAGTCTGGATATGGATAGAAAGTTTTGTCAGTTACTCTCCACGAATTACCATTATTATAATCATACACCACCATTGCGTTGGTTTTACAATCAGCCGCATATACAAAAGTATCCCTACAGCGATTTCTAACATCGACAATTGGCGTGACAAAAAGTGATCTTTCTTCATATTGACTTCTTGGTATTTCATAACTGCTTAATAATTTGTTCTAAAATAAATTATATTTTATTGAGAGGATTAATTAGGATTTACTGAATTTACTGTTTTTAAATCAAATACTAGGATTTGTGGTGGACAAATTATGGTCTTAACTAGTCTTCCATTGTCAAGGACCCAGAGTCTTCCGCATTCATCGATCTGAGAAAAAAGTAAACAAATATTGTTTTAGTGCTTTATAAATAATACCTAATTCATTTAAAAATTATATATACAGGGTGTCCGGGAAAATGTGGGAAATATCTCGGATTCAGATAAAACATGAAAAAATAAGATGACACGTTCCTATAAATTTTTTTCTACTGGCCCTCCTTACGGAGACATGGGCCCCGAAAGAACTACCCTGCAAATTGGTTTTCCTTGAATAACTTTTAAAGTACTGAATATAATTTAATAAAAATTTAATATGATGAACCCTGCTAAGGATCTCTTAAAATATTGTCATTGAAACATGTTTTTCTTTTTTTGTTTAGCAGGGGCGGACTAAGTTTTACTTCTTAATGCTTAAACTTTGAACGGGGTGTTAATTTTATTGACAATAAACAAGGGTACCTTTATTTTAGTTTAAGGTTCAAGCTATGCAGATTTAGTTTTTTTTAATTATTTGTCATACGGGGTGTATGACAAATAATTAAAAAAAACTAAATCTGCATAGCTTGAACCTTAAACTAAAATAAAGGTACCCTTGTTTATTGTCAATAAAATTAACCGTTTTCGAAAAAAAGAATAATAAACGAATTCATTCATTAATAAAAAGGACCATAAAAAAAATAATATAACGTATTGTTGCAAACCTTAAATTAAAGGACGATAATTCGAAACAATAATTTAAAAACTTTATAAGAGGGTTCAACATGGGTTCCGTAAACTCTTATACATTCGCGGGCACGACGAATTGAGGACTGCTGTAGCCGCCAGAACAACCCAGAATTGCTTCTTATCATATCACAATGAAACGTGATTATCTGTAGAAGTTCCTCCCTAGTATTGATCGGAGTGGAATACACCAAGTTTTTTAGGTGTCCCCACAGGAAAAAGTCTCGGGGAGATCGAGGAGGCCAGTTAATACGTCCTCCTCTACCTATCCAACGGTTTGGATAAACTTTATTTCAGTGCTCCCGCACAGCAACGCTGAAATGAGGTGGTGCCCCATCGTGCAAGAAGTACATGTGTAGGCGGGTTTCAAGTGGTAAGGTCTCTATTAAATCCCGAAAAGCGTTCTGAAAAAACTCTAAACAAAGTTGTCCATTCAATCGTGCCAGCAATACGAATGGTCCAATCAAAATAATGCCAATGATTCCTGCCCACGTATTAATTGGTTGGAACTGATGTTGAAAATGCGACACAATAGTGGCATGAGGATTTTCATCAGCCCATACATGTGTGTTGTGTAAATTCGTGATACCTTTTTTGGTCAATCCTGCTTCATCCGTGAAAAGAAAACTTTTTTTACAAACGTACCTAAAATTATGAAGGAAGTCAATAATATTACTTTAATAAATGAAATTGTTCACCATTCTCTTCTTATTATTCGAAATCAGAAGATATTTTAACGAATTGACCAACGTCTTGGAGAGAATGGTGAACAATTTCAGTTATTAAAGTAATATTATTGACTTTCTTCATAATTTTAGGCAAGTTTGAAAAATATTTGAAATGCTGTAGATGACACTCCTTCAACGAGCACTCGAAAATTATCAGCACAGTTTAATACGTCAAAAACTATTATTCTTTAAGAACAGCTGTTATATCCATATCATATGCAAAAAGTGCATAAACTTATTTCTGAAGATTTTCCTAGTAGAATGCAGTTTGCAAACTGGCTATTGGATCAGCAACAAAATAATGTAAACTTCATTAGCACTATTCTTACCAGCCCTTACCACTTGAAACCCGCCTAAACATGTACTTCTTGCACGATGGGGCACCACCTCATTTCAGCGCTGCTGTGCGGGAGCACTTGAATAACGTTTATCCAAACCGTTGGATAGGTAGAGGAGGACCTATTGACTGGCCTCCTCGATCTCCCGACCTTACGCTGATGGATTTTTTCCTGTGGGGACACCTAAAAAAACTTGGTGTATTCCACTCCGATAGATACTAAGAAGGAACTTCTACAGATAATCACGTTTCATTGTGATAGGACAAGAAACAATTCTGGGTTATTCTTGCGGGTACAGCAGTCCTCAATTCGTCGTGCCAAATGTATCAGAGTTCACGGAACCCATGTTGAACCCTCTTATAAAGTTTTTAATTAATTGTTTCGAATTATCGTCCTTCAATTTAAGGTTTGCAACAATACGTTATATAATTTTTTTAAGGTCCTTTTTATTAAAAATAAAACATGAATCGTTTATTATTCTTTTTCTCGAAAACGGTTCATTTTATTGACAATAAACAAGAGTACCTTTATTTTAGTTTAAGGTTTAAGCTATGCAGATTTAGCTTTTTTAAGTCTTTGTCAATAAACAAGAGTACCTTTATTTTAGTTTAAGGTTTAAGCTATGCAGATTTAGCTTTTTTAAGTCTTTGTCATACGGGGTGTTCAAAATTTAAGCATTAAAAAGTAAAACTTAGTCCGCCCCTGGTAAACAAAAAAAAAATGACACTATTTTAAGAGGTTCTTACAAGGGTCCATCATATTGAATTTTTATTAAATTATATTTAGTACTTTAAAAGTTATTCAAGGAAAACCAATTTGCAGGGGAGTCCTTTCGGGGCCCATGTCTCCGTAAGGATGGCCAGTAGGAAAAAAATTTATAGGAACGTGTCATCTTATTTTTTCATGTTCTATGTGAATTCGAGATATTTCTCACATTTTCCCGGACACCCTGTATATATCTTATATTTTCCAATAAATTATGTATTTAATTATTACCCTGGTATACTCGTCACTTCCCTTGCATTCAAATTTAGAAAACACAGATATTTCAGAAACTGTTTGAAAAAGTGACTGGCCCGGTCTGTTAACAGTATATTAATTATATTATCTATGTTCTCATAACAATATAGGTACTGTTTAATTTTCTCCGAAAACTATATAAACAAAATGAGGTTAAAAGTTGACTTTTGTAGAATCACCCATATAAATAGAGTGTTAGTTCAATATAATTTGTGATAAAGTGAAGCAGTATGCAAGTTTGTTCTCCCTTCTATACTAAAAAAATGTAAAATTGTTGGCATTGTGCTCTGTAATAAATGTAATGGTAAACTTTCGATCGCCCATGGAGGCAAAAACGACATAAATAAGCACAAGAGAGCTCTGACAAGTGCGGCATGGCATCTTCATCTACAAATCTAAAAATTTTGTTTTTCAAAAATACGTGTGCATTGTAGACTACAATGCACACGTATTTTTGAAAAATAAAATTTTTAGATGAAGAGAAAAACCTACCAATTGCAGAAGGTTTGTTTACTTATCATACAATTAACCAAAACCAGCTCTAGAGTTTCCGTTCAATGGACTGCACGTCTCAACTGATACGAAAAGTATTTAACAAGAAGTTTACTTGTACCAGAACTAAAACCGAAGCGATAGTCTGCAAGGTATTTTATCCATATTTAAAAATCAAACCAAAGTTAAGTTAAACAAAATGACATAATTTTATAAAAAGGTTTACATATGCGTGAAAAAGTTTTGTTAGCTTTAATAACAAATGATCAGGAAAAAATATTCACTCGTTGTTATACCAAATTTAAATAATTTATCTTTTTATAATAAAAGATATTTAAAAAAAAAATCAAAATAAAAAAGGACCAATATTTGAACATAGGTTAATAGAAATTAAAATAACTTTTTACATTCGCTAGTCTAAAACCTTGGGTTTGTGATAAAATTATTAAGTTCTTTAAATTTTTTAAATTATGATTGTAAGAAATATATCCAAAAGTAAATTTAATAAATAAATAATGGGTTTATTTTTAATTTACTTTTGTGCAATATAATTTAATTTTTATTTTCATTTAGTAACTTACTTTAATTCTATAAACTGACACAATCCTATTTACGTTACATTGCTCAGAATTCAGATGCCAACTCCAATCTGGATAAGGTGTAATGATTGGATTTCCATGATAGTTTTTATTAGTAATGGTACCTAAACCTATTGGTACTCCTTTTTGGAACCTCGGTATCGTGACAAAGATTTTATTATACTGATTTCCATGAGCTGAAAAGAAAGGTTGCATGATATTTTTTACAAAAACATTAATGTTCGTAAATTCCCTATGCCTAACTAAAACCATAATTTCTCCCTTAATCATTTATTTTAATTTTCGTAAAATGTGTATAAAATATTTTACTGAATTTAAGGTAATTTGCATACTTACGTGAATAGTAAACATCGGCATCAATAGGAGCAGATATACCCGGTATGTATTTTCCACTACTTATATACTCCTGTCGCTGACTTTGTGATTGCCAGTCAAACTCTAACTGACCCCAACCATATTTTACGAAAAGTTGTGGTTGTTTTTGAGCAAAACTAACATTTGTACTACAAATGCCCAGAACTAAGCAGGACCACTGTAGGGCTAATAAAGATAAAAATAATAAAGGTTAGATTTTTTTAATTGTATATAACATTCTGAATACCTAATTCACTATAATATATCATGACCTACATTAGGGCTGTTTTGGTTAAAAGCAAAAACTATATATTACAAGACTACTTTTTATATAAATAGCCATTCCACTAGAATTTCCAAACAATTGTTTTTGGTAATTTTAAAAAGTAATTTACATTTACACATTTTGACAAAATTCAAAACAAAGAAGAAAAAGAAGACATTACCACTTTTAACAGAAAAACATTTCAGTTATAAATTTTTTTAGCATTATGATCAAAAATAACAATAATAATGAATGAAGTTCTTCGATTTGTCCCAATTTTTATAAATGGGTTAATAGCCATAAGATGTGTTATCCATGGTATTCTTGACTTGCATTTAGTGGTAGTCATTTTTGCTGCTATTGGTTTGGGTATGTCTGGTATGGGACTTTATGGTGCTTACAATGATTAGAAACTTTGTCATAGCTGTTGGTGCCTTGATATTATTAATAATAGTTGGAAAGTAAGTAACAAATCTTAGTCTTTAGTCATTTCATATGGACTTAAATTAACTCAGCAAAGTCAGCCAATCTCGTTGATTTTAACGAGAGGGTAATGATTTTTTAGAAAATAATTTTAACTTTATTATTGCCAACACTCGTTACTAAAGTGATTGTTCATAGCCTAGGCTCTTAAAAATGATTTATACCAATCGAGTTATGTTATTTATGGCCTGGGCCGTGAAAACTTATTTACCTATTTACAACTCTGGACAAAAAGACTTGCCCTAATATTTTAAGAATTTATACACAAAATATTTTTATTATTGTAAGTTTGAATAAAAACACATTTGGGTAAAAATTTCTCTAATGGACCTCGAACTTTGGTCAAGTCAAAAATTTTGCACGAAAATGCATGAATAGTAAGTTTTATAAATAAGAAAGTCCTGAAAATTTTCTTGCAAAATTTTGATTATTCAATTTGTTATGACAGTTACTTTTTTAGCATGGTGTAGGTATTTGTAATTACAAATCATTATAATCATAGATTATTGGAATTTATATTTTTTGCAAGTATGAAAAAAATATTTTATAAATATCATTAGGCTTGGAAAATTTCGTTAAATACTTTTGGAGAAATTAATTTTAAAAAAAACATGCTTGAAATGTAATTGTTCATAAAAAATTTCAAAATCATTTATGCATTTTTGTGCAAAATTTCCCACCGAAATTTGAGGTCCACCACTAATAATGGCAAAAAATCAAATTTTATAGGTAATAAATTTTTTATAAATATTAAATAAACAAAATAATTGCAAATGCAAATCCATTGAAGGTTAATTCTTAAACAAACACCTAAATAATTGTACAAGTATGTAAATTTTATTACAAAAATGAAGATTTTTATGAGCATTGCCTAATAAACTTTCATATGTTGAACTGGGATAAAAAAAAAATTATACAAAAATGCTGTTTACAAGTCAGAAACAAATTAATTAATTATCAAATATAAATCAGTAAATCCAATAAAATTTGTTGCATAATTTGTTGAATTTTTTTAATTGTTAATTTATTTTTTATCGTATTACGGTAAATCGCGAACAGCGACTCGAATGTGACAGGTTTTTTGCATGATATCTTAAGATTTTTCAATTAAACTCAAGTTATTATGTTATATTTAAATATCTCATAAATTTTAAAAAATTTTAGCCTATTTGTAAAATTTTCAAAATGAATGTACATTTTTTATTGTCACCAATTGTATGCTTATTTACAAAAACATTTGTACCGCCGCACAGTATTTCAATTCTCAAAAATATCGGCAAAACCTCAAAAATTGACATTTTTTTTTCAGGTAAATTTTGTGTTAGATGGGTAGTTAATACCTGTCTCCATCCTGTATTGAAAAAAAATTATATAAAATACGTTTATTTTGTCTTGTACATCAGTTTAAACTTGACGCTTTCAGTTGAAGGTACTTTACACGCGATCGCTGCGGAAAATTGTTTATTGTTTAAAAGTGAATAACTTGTGTTTGGTGTGTCCGATTGTTATGCGGTTTGATGAAGGGTGATCTTCAAGGTATGTAAAATTCAGATATGTATTTGTTTTTCGTAGATTTTGCTTGTACAACGGGTTATTGTAACCGACAAGATCGGTCTGTTAACATCGCAAACTTTGAATCGAGCTTTTAGAACAATGGAGCTACAAAAATTGTAATGAATTGTAAGGCATCAGTTCAAGATCCGTTGAATAGCTTAGAGTTTTGTCTATCAAGCCATCAATAATTTATCTGCCCCAACTCGCCCCCGGCTCTTTAAAACTACATGTTCTTGGGCGCTCAGGCACGGTTGTGGTAAAAAACCCCGCGATTTTAAGCCTATGTCGCGCTTCTATCTGTGTTTTTGCTTTACAAAATATGCGTTCATGACGTTTACTCGATTCACTCGGATTTAACTCAAAATATTTATTACAAACAACAGCGCGCTGCAGCGGTGTTTAGACTTGCGTAAATCGTTCGTGACTACTAAAATATTTAACACCGATTTTACATATTTAACTCACATCTTGTAGGTGCGTTAAAACAACTCCGCATGCGCATTGTAGTGTGTTAATGTCAAATTTGAATTGTGGTTATTTGTGTTGACAAATTTTTTAGCGAATCCAGTGACTGAGATTGTTTAATATATATGTAGGTATTAAATAATATCATATAAATGTAATAATAATAAACTAAATTAGGCTATTTTATAAAAAGATGTTTTATTTACATTTTAAAAAGAAGCTCTTACAGGTTTTTAATTAATTTAGACAGTTTTTTGATAAAAATGTCCGCCATTTGAGGTCCACCATTTTGAATTTTGAAATTCTGATTCCAGATTCATTATCAGCGACCACAAAAAACCCTGTATGGTTATTTTCAATTTATTCCTTTAATTTTTTGACAAATATGTTCGCCATTTTGGATCTACCATTTTGAGTTTTGGAATTCTGATTCCAGATTCGTTATCAGCGATCACAAAAACCCCTGTATAATGATTTTCAATTTATTTCGTAATTTTTTGACAAATATGTCCGCCATTTTGGATCTACTATTTTGAATTTTGCAATTCTGATTCCAGATTCGTTATCAGCGACCCAAAAAACCTCTATATACGGATTTTTGGGAGAATCCGACTATTCCTTGATATTTTGCCGAAAATTTCAAGAATTGAAACACTGTGCGCCGCGGCAATTATAAAATTTATGATGATATTGTAACGTTTTTATCGGTTCGTAGTGTGAATAAAACACGCATTGCTTTATTAACGAACTAAACGATTTATTTTATCTTAATTACAATTAAAACACCAAGAAACTATAAAACTAACTAATCACTTAACTACTAAATATTTATATATCACTACAGTACAAGAGTCTATTTATTTGCACGTATATACCTGACTCACATCACACAAGCATCTTTCCGAACATTCCAGCGAGCTCCACACCGCTCTCGATCGCTTGAGCGTTGACTCACCGGTGATGAGTCACCAAGGTCATTCCGAAATCCAGAGTGGTACTCGCTACAGTATTATAATGTTTTTACAATATATATTTTTCAGCTGTTTTAAAAATTTTCTAATCATAAATATCTTTAATATTTTTTTTCTACAAGTTAGGTAAATAACTAAACAGGGTAAACTATATCATTTGGAGGACTGATAGGCCAATTCATGACTTGTCTAAAAATCAAAAACCTATGTTAGTTTTTGAGATATTGACACTCGAAAAACTGATCTAAGGTGTCAAGTCTTACAAAACTCATAATTTTTTTTAAATTTGACACCTTGGATCAGTTTTTTGAGTGCCACAGCACAACATTCCAATTTCCAAGATTCTATTTTATGTTGCGCAACCCTAAATAGGCCTGCTATTGATTACAGTTTAAAATAATCTAATAGTTTTTACCTTTTAAAAACAAACAATTTTGCATGATTTTATAGTTTTTTTGTTAGCTTAATTTGACCGTTCAAACTGTTAACAAAAGATTTTACGTGAACTTCGCTAAATATATATTTTTTATAATAATATATATGTAGTAATATTAAAATATACGAACTTTAAAAAATAAAAAAAACGATACAAAATTATAATATACAACAGAATGGTAGTTATTCAAAGGTTAACGACTTTTTTAATAATAAACTTGATGCAATTTTATTTATTACTTCGTCATTTTTAGTTTGATCCAATATCGAATTTTCAATGTTTATTAACATAAATGCCTCCAATAAGTCATCGGCTAATCTATTTCATAGCTGATTTTTATATATTTTACTGACTGAAAATGATCTTTCCCAAGTTACCTACTTGAGATATTGAGATACTGATAAGCTAGTGCCAACATCGGATCAGCTTCTTGATACATGTTATATTTTAATATAACTACGTAACAACAACATATTAGACAATTTTGGCAATAAGTTTCGGTAATATTGTATTTTTTTCCCTTCGATATTTTCTAATTTTTTAAAGTTATTTCATGAATTTGTTTCATCTTTTCTATTAATAAGTTCGTTTAGGCTTAGTTTGAATTGATCCCAGTTGATAATGAAAACTTGAATGTAGAAGTGGATAAAAAATATTTATTTAAAACAAAACCAATCACAAATAAAAGTCAAAGGAGGTGTTCAAATTGAGTCCTTTATTTGTGTGCGGCTTTATTAATCCTTAAATTAGGATTTAAATCCGGAGACGAGAAGTCCACAAAATGGAACCAAGACGGCTGATCCATCTCTCTGGATAAACCTGATCCAAATAAGTTTTCACTCCTCGTGCGTAATGAGCTAGACAGCCATCATGTTAAAATCACATTTCCCTGCTTTTGCCGCAGAATGCTGCAGAAACATAGCTCTGCGTCAAGGGCGAATAAAAAGCACCTTTTAAAAATTTGCCATTATAAATATGCACAATCTGCATTGTTCTGCACTCCGCATTCAATGCGAGAAGAAGGTTACAAGGCCAGAGGTCAAAGTGAATTTATGGACCGGCATCTTGATTGGCCAAATAATTAATTGGTACCTTTGAATTAACTGAAAATTTAAATGGGGTAAATTATATTTTTTTCTAGAAATCTAATTGACAAATCTTTTGGATGATGTGCCCAGGGCCGGGCCTAAGGGGGGTGTAGGGGGGGGAGTCACCCCCCCAAAGTCTTGGCAGTTGGTTCCAAATCCAAACACGGTTGGCAAAATCTATAGTATTTGGGTCGGTTGGTTGGGTATACCTACCCTACCAACCAACCCATCACAATAAATAAACTGAAATATAATTTTTAAACTTTACCTACATATTACAAAATTATAATTTTTAATCTATTGTAACCTCCTATAATCGTTACCGTCAAGAAAATTGTATTGGTCAACCTTATTTGCGGCATGTACAAAGTCGGCACCGCCTCGCGGCTTTGTCTTTGGTTTTTACGCACCGCAATTTTCGGCGTCTTATTTTTCTAGATTATTAATTAGTTGAAGCTTATCTAAGCTAAGTAAAACTAGTGTCAATAAAAAGGAATTAATTTTTTTTTTAATATGGAAAAGAAAGCTAGACCGGGCCGAGTTCTAGTAAAATGCTCATTATGTGGATCTGCGTTTAACAAGGACTAGAAAAAAATGCACGAGGAAAATATTCACGGTGGAAATTTGGTTCAAAATTAAAATTGTTGCTGTTCCGGATAATCCATTACATTACATTACATTGGCAGCAAATAAAAAAAATAGAGAACGAGAATCAATCCCATCGACTTCGAAAGAGCATGCTAATGGTAGGTAAGACATTCTTTATCTACACTTTACAACACTTTACATACATGATAAAACTACTGAAAATTTTTACTATTACTACTAAAGTATCGATAAAAAAATAAGTTGGTTTTTTTTATCGTCTGCACACCCCCAAAAAAGTGTGCCTCGGTACGGCCCTGGATGTGCCCATGGCCATGCGCAGGGCAATGTCGCATTAATTTGATGGCTGGCCAGCTTAAGGAGCGAGAAATTACATATTTTACATATTATAGCCTCTTGATTTTTTTCTACTGGAGTTGCATGAAGGAAGGAAAAGTCTATAGAACAGTAACTCAAAATTTAAATGAATTGGGACACCGAATTATTGAAGCCGCAAAACAAATAAATGATAAAACTTGATGACAGGCAATTTAAACACATTTTTTGATATTTATTTGTGATTCGTTTAGTTTTAAATATTTATTAAAAACTAAACGAATCAGATATATGTTTATCTGTTTATTTCATGAACAAGTGTTTTATTTCAATTATTGAAATAATTTCACAATGAGCTCGTTTTGAAGTAAAACCACAATATATTTTTCTTTAAAGTAAAACTTGACAAATGTTATACCATTTTAAAAACTACACTAAATTATCAATTTTTAAAAATATCTTGCCAAGTTAACGTGGTATATTTTTTTTAAGTCTGAACAGTAAAAGTTAGTTATTAAAAAAACTTATAAAATCGGGAAAACATATTTGGTTTTCAAAAGGTAAAAAAACACTATTAGTTTTATTTTGAACTGTAATTGAAAGCAGGCCTATTTAGGGTTGCCCACCATAAAATAAAATCTTGGAATATGAAATTTTGTAGCTCTGGCACTCGAAAAACTGAACTTAAGTGTCAAACTTTACAAAATTTATTAAAATGCAATTATCTTAAAACTTAAAGATTTTTTACTAAGGTTATGTTTTGATATTCTGATTAGTTATGACTCATAACTAATCAGAATATCAAAACATAACCTTAGTAAAAAATCTTTAAGTTATGAGCTCACCTATTAGTCCTTTAAAGGATATCGTTGACTTTTGGAACACTCTATGTATCATTCCTAGATATAATTAGGCTACATACGGTATGTGGCCTAATTATATATGTCATACCCGTTCACAATTCAAACATTAAAAAATGCCAAATTTTTTCGTTTTAATATGTTTTATTATAACTTGAGCGATTTTAACCTCGATTTTAACAATAAATATTGAAACCTATTGAAATAATAATTAAAAAAAAGAAAATGTTAACATTCAACCTTAAAATTTAATTTTACTAAAGGTGATATAGAAATTTACAAATTTCGTAAATTTTAATTTCACTTACTTGACAACCTTAAGTAAAATTAAGTTTTTAGATTGAATGTTAACATTTTCTGTTTTTTATTTATACAAACAGAAAATGTTTATAATTTCGGGTCTGCCAACCAGGGTATTTTCCCACAATAAATAAAAACTTTATCAAGGAGTATTTTGTGTTAAGTGATAAATTTAGAAATTTTATTTGTTAAACTAAATTTAGATCTTACCCACAAATGATGCAATTAATATAGAATTCATTTTAGAAGAAAGACAAACATACAATAAATAAAACATGAACACATACATGTACCTGTAAAGGTACTGATAAGCAATTTATGTTATAATTTAAATTTTATTACTTTTGTGCAATTTTATTTAATTGATAAAATCCAAACAATGAGTTGAATATATTCAGGCCATAAGGCTTATTCTATCTACTGAATATTTTTTACAAACCGACTTTGTATTTTATTTTATTTTTGGATATAATAACTAAAGTTAAAGTATTTTTGTTACTTTTAACTAGTTTTTTTAAATTTATATGTATTTTTTATATCGTTCAAAATTAAAAAAATATTTTCTTAGTAATGAAAGTATGAAGAAACAGAAATCAGTGTGTTTACTTGAATGGTCAATATTTTAAGTTGGTTAGTACAGTACTAATACTACTTGTACTAATAGTACTTGTTAGTTTTGGGAGACTAACATATTTTTGTTTATTTTTTAGTGTTGATTACTAGATCGTCTGCATAATTCTTCCTTTGATGGGATATTTTACCTTTATCGTTGTGTCTAGAGTCCCAAAGCAGGATTAGGCTGGGTCTTGGGGTCTCCTCAACTTTTTAATTTTTTTTTATTAATTTACATAACTAAATAATATAATGTGGCATTAAAAAGTATTAATATTTAACCCAGAACCCACCAAGAAGGTGGCTGCAAATCGGGCTTCACGCATTCCCTCCCTCCCAATTTTAAAAGGTCAGAAGCAAACTAATTAATAGTGTTTAAAATGGCGCACCCAGGCCAAAAATATATATAAGTTTTTTTAGTACAAAATTGCTCCACCCTACTGCACAGTGTGCAGCCTCTGCCTAGCGATCTAGAGACCTCTCCATAGATCCCCAGACTAGTCCCACCGTCTATCACCGAGCCATTCGTGTACCAGGTTAGAGCCCCTCTATAGATATATCCTTTTCGACCAGTATAGTAAACGGCAAAGTAGAAGGACCCATGTGGGCACACTCTTAGAAAAGACCTGGTATTTGTAACTAACTTATTATCGTTGGGGTAAAACTGTTGCAGAAAATAAAAATTTTTGTTTTTTGTAATCAGTACCTTCATATTTGTAACTGCTTGCATCATTACCTGAAAAGATTTAGTTTTGTTGTTGAGTATTAGTTGCTGCAAAAAGGCGATTAAGTTATTTTAACTAAAACTTTGTGTTGGCTAGAAGTATTGACAACATTATCTCAAAAAAATCATTTCGGCAATAAAATGTTTTTGTTGGACCAAATATTTAAGTAACATTCTCAACTGACTGAAATTAGTCCGTGGAACTAACGGTTCGGTTGTATAAACTATGCGTCACTTTTCACACAGTTAAGACACCAGTGGTGTGAAACAAAGTGTCAGTTGGGGATGTTGTCTCTGTAGGTTAATGCAACTGCAAACTTTGTGCATTTCGCGCGCTATTTGTCCAGCCCGGCGCGTGCTTTACTTTTAACCTGTAAACAAACGGTGTTGCACGGCGTCCAGACTTCGGTGGTGTTTGTTCTTTTGTATTTCTGTATCAGCTCGTGTGTAGTGTATATTTTAGGTAAATTCAGTGGCGACATACTTTTTAACTATTCATATATATAAGAATATATTCTTATGTGTTGGTTACTTATAGATATCTCGAAGAAATAATATGGATGAGCGGACTGAAGTAGCAGATTTATTAGGAACATGGGGTTTACCTGAATTAGTTCCAGTTTTTAAAGGTTAGGTATTATTATTGCCCTCCTTTAATTACACTATTGTAGTTTTGGGGTCCGAAAAAAAATCAAAAAATGTGAAAATGCCATTCCGACTGAAAATGGCCTCCTGAATCCAATGGTGTCCACCAAAAGTCTCCATCAGGCCGGAATTTCGAGAATTTTTTTGTTTTGTTTTGTTACAGCTCAAGTCGCATTTTTGGTATAGGCACTCAAAATTTATCGAATGCTTACCCCTGTTATCATGCAAGTATGTTACGTTGTACCTAACAATCATTGTTAAGTTGTTAAACAAAGGCTTGCACTTCACGTAAACATCACGGTTTACTGAAGAAGTATAGTCAACTTTCATCTTAATGTAATCTGTATATATTTACCAAAGAATCGTTTTTGTTTTATTGTTAAAATATTTATAAATGTTTTCTTAGAGTAATTATTAATTTTTGTTATAATGTTCAAACCAAAATTTAGTGTTTTCAGTTATATTATTATTTTTTAATTTATAATAAATATTTATAAAACGAACGGGCATGAATTTCCTTTCTCTATTTTTTATAATATTTACACAAAAAGTGTTATATTTACTAAGCAGGTATGTACTGTGGAATAATACCAATTTGTTGTTGCTACTAATGCAAGCATTTAATGTTAAATATAACTTAGTTACAGTACAAAACAAATTTATATTATATCAACTATTAAATTCTTTAAATGTACCTTTTTTCATGTAATTTCAATTAAAAAATAAATTCCTGCATGATACAATGTTTGTTGCGATAAATAGCAAGTGCAGTTGTTACAACTTAGACGCTGCTAAAATGACAGACTAATGTGATTGCATTAAATATCAATTATTTGTATGAAAAAAAAAACTAATTTCGATGCACTTAAACTTGTTGGTTGGGGCTACCAATATTGGCTGTTCCGACAACAAACTGTAAAAACAAATTTGTATTAGTTCCCACAACATATTTTTTTGTTGTGCCTATTTTCACTAATAAAATTGGTTATGGGAACTAAATTTTCATTGCAAATACCAGGTCTTTTCTAAGAGTGCAGGCTGCGTATTTACCAAAATCGGTCGGACTAGTCCATTATGCGAGTTGAAGGGGTGTTCACATGTATTGTTTTCAAGTATTTATTTTTTAAATAATAAACATAAATCGTTTTTTAATAAAATCCTAGCCCTAAATACAAACAATAAATTGATCACTTTTATTGTAAAATAAACACTATTATCATAAAACCATTTTTGTACTTCTATATTTATTTCTGAAACCATAAACATTATCATTATTATTACGCCACTGTAGGTTTAAAACATGGGCGCGAACGCCCGTTAGCTCCACCCACCCGGGTCCTTCTACTTTGCCGTTTAGGTACTCTAGAGTTTTCAGCTATTCGTTTTTTTCAATCTTATTTCAAAGTGTTTTTTAAAGTTTTTTTATTTCCATATCATGCAGTGGTACATATTTTATATATGGTATCTGTCTAAGAATACTAAGGTAGGGTGACATCCCTGAGTATCTTTTATTTTTTATCCTATGGTTTTTATGTGCAGGTGTAGAGTATTTATGTTCAGGATGACTTTCAACGCTGTCAACCAAGCCAAAATTTCGCGTTGTGGTTATTTCTAGTTTAGGAAAAGTATGATGGTATCATAACCAAAATTGTCTTTAAATTATTCGCCAAATACTCACTCACAATATCTATTTTAGTTTACAGTTTAACTATAAGAATTATCGTATGGTTTTGTTTTAATTTATTAAAAAAATCTTTATTTTTTTATCAATGATAACTGTTTATAAACAACTGGAACGAGGCATTGAATAATTTGTCCCACTTGCTTTCTTGCATTTTGAAAAATAATTATGTTTAATAATGTTTAAACGAAATTGCGTTGTCAACTAAGAAAGGACGAGAAATAAAAATTTGTGATCATTTTTTAAGATACTCCTAGAGGGCGTTAATGAGACAGGTCGAATTTAAGTAAGAAAAGTAAGTATTGATTCACAATGAAACTTTTTGCTCAATATTTTCTTTCATTGTGAATCAATACTTACTTTTCTTACTTAAATTCGACCTGTCTCATTAACGCCCTCTAGGAGTATCTTTAAAAATAATCACAAATTTTTATTTCTCGTCCTTAAAAACTATACTACTATTTTGAGTTTGATACTTTAAAAAGTTTTCCAAATATTACCAATTTTTAAAAATATTATCTCATATTTATCGCCCTGTATCCCGGTTATTTTACTAAGGCATATTTGTGTTAATAATAATAATAATAATAATAATAATTTTTGCTTGAATCAAGTAAAAGCGAGTCAAAATTAAAACTTAAAAAAACAGCAACCCGTTGGTCTTCACGCAATGATGCAATAAAGCCCTACGTTTTAGGTATCTTCATGTTCTTAAGGCCTTGTCAAAAATTATTTTAACATCCAATAATAAGGCTGAAATAGACGAATCGAAAGGATTTTAAAGTACATTAGAGGACTTTGAAACTGTGTTTTTGATTATTTTACAATCTAACATTTTAAATCGACAAAATCAGTAGCAAGATATCCAAAAATCTAGTAAACTTTTAAAAAATGTGTTAAATGACATAAGCAAACTTCGTAATGAATTTTTAGATATAAAAAAGAGGCCGATATTACATCAAGTAAATGGGGTAAAATTCCAGAACTTTGCCAAAAACGTATTCGCAAACGTTTTTTTGATGAAGTTGCAAATGACTTGGCTTTTTAAACTGCTGAAGATACTTTTAGTACCGCCACCACCGAGGTGTAGTAGTTAGCGCTGCGGACTACAAGCCGAGAGGTCGTGGGTTCGAATCCCACCAGGGGTAAGGCTGTTTATTTAAATAGCCACTAACTTCAGTATTTTGGAAACTGTTAAATTCTACTAATACAGAAGTATACCAAATGGCGGAAAACATTCGTGAAATATATGAAGATGATATTTTAGACTTCCCTATCAATTAATGGCTTTTCAAAAATGTTTTTCTTTGAAACAACAGGGGAAACTGTCAAATGTCACATTTTTAGATTTTATAAACACAATTATAAAGGTTATAAATCGAAATATATTTGGAAAATTAACAGTTTTTCACAGTGAAAGTAAAGGAAATGTTTTATGAGGACTTTACAGTAGAGTCCGTGCCCAAATTTAAGTTATAGTTTACTGCCGGCGAAATTAAAAGGTCAGTACAATGTTCATATAAACTTTTCAAATATTGGCGTTGAGAAACTATTTAATATTTTTGTATTTTTGTATTGAGATAATAAAATAATTTTCACATTTAGTATTATTTTACAAGAAAGGCACTTTATTTTAACGATTGTATGACATTTGACAACTGTCAACGATCTTAAAACTAACTCCAGCCCGTGACTAAAAACCTGTTGCTAACTTCAGCCCGCGACTAAAGCGCCGTAAAGCCACAAGTTGTCAATGTGTATTTAAAAGGTCACTTAGTGTCATGGAAACATGTACGATAAAGGGCGTTTTAAAGGTGAGAGTACAAAAAAAAATTAATTAGTACAAAATAAAAAAACACCTAGAGGCCCGTGGGTATAGCCTGGAACCCGGGCCCGTTGGGTTGTTGCTACGGCGCTGCACCCTGTATATACATTATTTTAAAAATAAACACTGCTAACAGGATATTTTAGAGCCAAAAAAGACGCTCTTAATAAACATAAATAAATGAACGGTTACGAAGTTGTGAGGGTAATAATTTTTAGTCTTTAGTTTAAGAGTCGTGCATTGATATGGAGGGGTAATTTTCAGCACCTAATTTAAATAAAGATTAAAAGAAAACGTAAGTAAAAACTAATTTTTAAATTAGTTTAAAAAAAGTAAAAATTTAACAAAATTGTACCAAAGAAAAGTCGCTATAAGAGTTCATTTTCGGACTCATGTTTATTTAGTGTTTTTGTCTTCTTTTTGCCTCCACCATACGGCAAAGAAATATTTAACCCTGTATATTTGGATAAAATAAACTCAATAAATAAATTATTTCAAAAAATTTGCAATGTTACCAGGATTTAACAATTAAACGATTTGAAAAAAATGGATATAAAATATGTCTAAATTGAGTGTTTTGTCCAACTCATGTCTTAATTTTAGATTCTAAAATATGTTGAATCAAGTTTTTTAAATGCTATTTAAATATCTTACACATGTGTAACACACTTTTTATTACCTACCTGCAAATCTTAAGTATTTGATTTAATAATTTAAATTAATTCTTTTTTTAAATTTTTCATTGTAAACAGCAAATAAAATATTCACAACAAATTTACTTTTTATTTACAAAATAAATACAAAAGGTAAGTTATGTAATATCTTAAATATTGACTAAATTTTGGTGTAAAATTTTAATAATTAATTAAGTAAAACTCTCAAATAATATTTACATCGTAAAAGTTTAAACTCATTCATAAATTAATATTTGCAAATGTTATTTTTAAATTTATATGTGGTGCTTAAAATCAGTCTTGACCTTTACCATATTTTTATCTAGTTTATACCTAAATTTTGATTTTTACTGTTATTTATTTTTTTGGCTTTAAATTATTTATGAATTGCAAATATAAAAATTAAGTAATGGCACAAATTTAATGTTGTTAACTTTGATTTCCCAGAAAATACCAATTTTAACTAAAATTATTTACTTCAAGAAGAATTTATTTGGAAAGGATTGCTGGGGACGAGATTTTGGCAATTGTATTCTTATTATCCTTAAGTTGACTTCGTTTATGTTGACAGTTCTGAGGAAGAATTTTTGGAATCTTGTTGATAAAATATATACACTGTTGTCTGCTGCAACATATCTTAATTCTGCAGGAAATTGAAGTGCCACTGGATCATAAGCCAATAACCTAAAAGAAGAATAAATTATAATTAAGAAAATTTAATTTAAAAATCACAGAACACAATAAAAAAATCTTTAATCGTTATGAATGGTCCTTGACAATTTTTTTAAATACAGTTTTTACCGAAGCTAGTGCAATTTTGGACCACTTTTGGGCATTATAATATAACATTTTATCGCCTTGTACTATAAAAACCTATATTTGTCTGGTTAATTTTTTGTATTTTTTTGTTAATTGTTAAGATATCGCGTCCTACAGGTACGGAACCCTGAAAACTATATTTTGGACCCTCATTCTTTTTTGCTTGTGCTGTTTATTTGTAGAAAAATAAAACATACTTCTGCTCATTAGTGACAGGGTTCCATGAAGCCACAGAAGTTTCCACAATGGGACTGAAGAAAAGTGTATCATCGTAAGGGTTCAATGCAATTCCAAGACCTTGAGAAGATTTTCTACCGGCTAGAGAAACTCTAAATGGAGCAAACTCCGCTGGTGGACCTTTCACAAGTTCTGAAGTTGGTACACTAAAAATCCTAAAAAAAATACACAATTATGTACTATGCCAACTGTATACTCTATGTTTATAGTTTTGATATGAAAATTACAAATAGCTTATATTATTATTATATTATTTAAAATTTAAGATACCATCGAAGTCATGAATTGGTATGAGCCAATCAGTAACCTCATGAAATTATTTCAATATTTCTTAAGGATATAATTGGTATTGATTAATTTATCATTTTTTTTAAATTTAATATTATTTTGCTTTTTTACTTACTTGAGAGTGGCAAGTGGTTGATAGAAGAGTTGACCAAGTCTTGGTGAGTGCGCCATACCAACGATACCGTCCATAAGAGTAAAGGTTTCACCTGCTACAGTATAGTCTGAGTAGTCTGGATCAGGGAACATAGAGGAATGGATAAATCTCCAGGTGTTACCTTGAAGGGTGTCCAATACAATAAGACCTGAAAATAAATATTTTGAATTAATAAGTAAGTATTTTTACTATTGATTTTACATTTAATCAATTTCAATTTCAAATTTATTTGTGTCATCTAGTAAAACTTTATTAGTTATTGTAGGTTTTTGTAGGTTTGTTTATTATTACAATTAACATAAAATATTTAAAATTCAGAACATTTTTTTAATTTTAGAATATGTGATTTTTACCCTTTATTTTTATGTCAGTGGTAAAAAAACATCTTGCTTGAACTTTACCTTAATAGGAAACTATAAAAAGACATAGTTATGTCCATCCCTTCCAAAATATCAGATGCTTCTTAAAAGAATTTTAAATTAGGTTTGGGTGGTTGGTTTTCTATTTTAAATCGGGTGTCAAAGTGTCATTTGCAAAAAAAAACTGAATTTTCGTAGTTTACAACTTACCCCTTTTTCCGCGACTTGGATTATTTTTTTTATTAATAGCAAACAGACTATGCTGCCCTGCTAAGCAAGAAAGTCATATCTGAAAATTTGTTGATTTGGAACAATTGTAATTTAAGGGCATTATTTTTTGTAGTTATGACAAAATTAATAGAAGAATTATTATTTTACTAATGTAGATAAAGCATTCTGGGTTAGTGCAAAACATGCAGAAATACCCAATCTCTGATTTAGATATGACAGTTTCATTTCTGAAAAAATGTCTGATACGACCTTCTTGCTTAGCATGGCAGTATGATTACATTCAATTAATTCAATTAATTCTTTATCAATTTAAATTAAGTCTACTTTTAATAGTAATAGGGGTAATCGGGGTCTCCAAGTGAAAGGGCTTTTGCCAATTAGTTTCACCTTTGAACTTCTTTCCATTACATAGGAGGGTTTTAATTGATAAAAACTTAATCGAAGAGTAAACCATAGCGAATGTAACGATTATGGTCCGTTTGCTGTGCGATAAATAAAACGCGTGATATGGGCGATTAAAAAAAACTAATCAATATGGCGGAGAAAGGCGTAATTTAGACAGTGAGCAAATTTAGGGTTAAGGTCCATCAAAAAAATGTACCCGAATTTTTGGTTAAATTGATAAATGCACTGTACTAATATCACTTTATAAATGGAATGTAAATAATGTCAACTGCAGTTGATTCCAAAAGTGTACCTTTCTGGTTTATAACATTTTATTGAATAACAAAACAATACTAAACTAAAAAATCAACAAAAACCCTAAATAAACATCAAATTTGTAAAATGAACACTTTTATAGTAAACTCTTAAGGTGTGAATCCACAATGAGAATATCTCATCAGATTTTATTTTAAAGTGTTGAAAAAATATCTCAGTTCTGTGTAAACACATCTGAGATAAATTTCTCATAAGACAAAAATCTCATGAGATTTTAGTCTCTTTGTGGATTCGCACCTTTAAAAAATTTATATAGGTACCTAATATTATTGTGTATACAAATATAAAACTAAAAAATAGTATTTGTTTAAAATATATTATGTAAGTTCAATGCTAAGACATAACGGCGATTTAAATCATTTTACTTTTTTAAACGTTAGTCAAGTAATAAACTTATAATTTTATGTTTATTAGTTCTTGACCTACGATTAACAGTCCCTTTTCTTTAAATTGCTCTCCTAAAAGTTGTTGAGAACCAAATATGCATTTACGTATTTTCAATTGCACATATAACATGTTTCCAAAATGGCGCACTAACTAACGATTTATTTTAAGCATAAACTAAATTACAATTTTTTATTTTAGGTTTAATTTTTTTTACACAAAATGTCAGAAAACACATATGTCATCGTCCTATCAAGCCAAACATACTTATTTAAAAATCTTATTACCTGGAGCTGCTGTGTCTGTAATATATGCATAAGAATTATCACAAGCTCCTCTAATGCTTTCATCAATAACGATATTAGTTAATAAAGAAGCGGGTCTCAATACATTATCAGGAAGTTGGATGGTCTGAACTGGAAGATCCGTATTTAAATCGAAAATAACGATTTTTGGTGGACATATTCTTGTAAAATCATCTATGGAAGTCATGACACCTGAATCCAAAACCTAAAATAAAGCAATTTTATGATTGTTGTTTATAAATTATATTATTTTTATTATACCCAAAGCCTATTACAAGAGTCCATTCTCATTCTATATACAGACGTAAGTCCGGAACAACTATTGTTGTTTCCTTGGCCAGCTGGATGAAAGTCCCAGTTTGGATAGGCTTGAAGTGGCTCCCCAACTACACCGCGTCTGGAGATAGTTGCTAACGTTGCTGGAACTCCAAGCCTTAGTCTGGGCATTGCCAGGAATATTCTGTCTGGCGTTACTTCAATACCTGTGAAAAGGGTATTTTCGGGTCTGAAAACAAATTTATTAATTAGGATGGGTTAAAAATTCAATATGCAGGGTAATACCGGTAACTTTGGCCAAATTGGTAGGGTAGGCAAATACCTAGGTGCTCCATAGGCAAATATTTTGAGCATAGGAACCAATGTCCGGGTAAGCCGTATCGGAGATGCCCAATGGGTAGGCAACCCAACGTACGAAAGCATTAATGCGCATTGTACTAGCAGACAACAGCCGAGGTGATTCGTGTACGTTGGGTTGTCTACCCTTGTCCAATTTTAAAAAAGCCGCATCTCCGAAAGGTGGCTTTTCCGGATATGGGTTCTTACCACAGACCACCAAAACAAATGGATTTGTTTACGTTTAAAAAGCGAGTAAAGCATAGTTTCACATTCTAAACACCGTCGAAAGAAACACGGCTTCCAACGTTGTCAGAAGTATATACTTCTAATCTATATAGATTACACGCCTTTTTGGACGTTCATCATAACATAATGAACATTAAAAATTACCAGTAATTCGTTTGAATAAAAAAATTGTAAAAAGGATTTGTTCATCATTTTCTTTAGATATTTTTCTCTATTTAAAGAAAGTAAATTATTAAATAATTATTAAAATTAAATATAAACAACGTTGGTAAATTCGTCATATTTGCGTTCAGTGGATTGTGGTTGACAGCATAGAAAAAGGTTGACAGCTTGTTGTTTTGTGTTTTCGTTTGTGTATTTCTATCGTGTTTAAGTTAATTATTGAGTTTAAATACATTATTTTTTACTAAAAATGGTGCGACATTGTACTGTTTGTAAAAAAACAAACCAAAGAAATCCAAATCTATCCTTTCATAGGTAAGTAATCACAATTAAATTAAACTATTTTTAAATTATCCCTATTTAACACCACGGCACTGGTTGCAGTCAGCTGTCATATTTGATATATGTCAGCTGTTTTGGAGTACTCAATACGTCACTGGAAGAAAACATTAAATTCTTTAGCCAATTTAACGCTTAGACTGTGACCGTTAGTTGACCGCAAATAAAGCATTGTTATTGAATGGCAATGCGCCGTCCATTTGTTTTGGTGGTCTGTGGTCTACGCTCAAAATTCTTGCCTATGGAACCCCTACCTACCCAATTTAGCCAAAGCTATACAGGTTTTATCCTGTATTATGCGTATAGTTAACTTGTAGTATGTCTTCCAGGCGGAGGTGTTTACAATACTGGAAGTAGCTAAGTGCGAGGAAATAAGAACAGGAATGTATATATATATATATACAGGGTGTTTCTTTTAACTTGAGACAGCTCAATATCTCGAGAAATACGTATTTCACGGAAAAATGTCTTAAATAAAAGGTTAATGTGACCAAAGGGGACATTATTTGGTGCTACCGCTAGCCACCCCCTACCCCTCCTTAAGGGTGAAACGGGGGGTAACTTTGGAAAGTCAAATGGAATGACCCGATTTTCACAGAGTTTGGTAGTACATAAAAAAATGAATAACTTTTATTTGAAAGTTTTTTCAATTTATCAACAGATGGCGCTGTAATTCAAAATTTAAGAAAAAGGGGTTTCCTTGTAAAATGTATTATTTGAAACGTTTGAAAAACAAAAATTAACATTAAATCAACATTTGTTATAAATTGTTTTCATAGCCGACTATTGTTGTCAATGTTAATTTTTGTTTTTCAAACGTTTCAAATAATACATTTTACAAGGAAACTCATTTTTCTTAAATTTTGAATTACAGCGCCATCTGTTGATAAATTGAAAAAAGTTTTAAATAAAAGTTATTTATTTTTTTATGTACTACCAAACTCTGTGAAAAAAATCGGGTCATTCCATTTGACTTTCCAAAGTTACCCCCCGTTTCACCCTTAAGGAGGGGTAGGGGTAGCACCAAATAATGTCCCCTTTAGTCACATTAACCTTTTATTTAAGACATTTTTCCGTGAAATGCGTATTTCTCGAGATATTGAGCTGTCTCAAGTTAAAAGAAACACCCTGTATATATATATATATATATATATATATATAGGGTGGCTCAGAAGTTTGGAATATTGACTATAACTTTTGAAATATAGAAAATATTAAAAAATGATTTTAATAAAAGTTGTTCATTTCAAATTTTACGGTGATCTTGCCAACTTAAAAAACACAATAACGTAGTCCCCAAGGAGGCCAACTTTTTTTTTAATCACAACCCCCTTTCAGAATTTAAAAGAGGCATTTTTTTCTTATTACAACGGTGTAATAATATTGAACCGATATAGGAATGACATCAGGTGGCTGAGCGTTAAACGTTAATTTTTTTTTTAATTTGTACCTATAAAAGTTTTTTGTTATAGCTTTTTTTGAGGCTTCACATTGTTAAACTGTATGTAATTCATTTTTAAATCGACATTCAGTGCAATTTTTACATGTAATAGTAAAATAAATAGCTACCGTTTTAAAAGACAATGCCTACTGAAAAAAAAAGAATTGAAATGATGGTTGGTTATGGTGACCGAAAAAGGACTGAGGAAGAAGTATGTGCATTATTTAATGCCACGTATCCAGAAAAGGAGCCTCTGACACAATCATACGTAAGCAAAATTGTAAAAAAAATTCTGAAGCGGTCGAACAAAATCTGCCACTACTGGAGATGTAGTACCTACAGTTTCTTGTCCGGGAGTTGCTCGAGACAATGATATCAGTTATAAGTCAGTGCAAAGGTTATTTAGAAGAGAAAAAATGCATCCCTATACGGTTCATTTATTGCAAAAATTAAGTGAGGACCATTTTGACGCGTAAGGCTGAGTTTTGTGAAATTTTGATGGAACGTTGTAGTCAGGGCATAAATTTTTCAAGAAAAATTTTATTTTCGGATGAGGCCACCTTCATACTGTTGTAAAAAGGGGGGTTATTATTAAAAAAAGTTGGCCCCGTTGGGGGGCTACGTATTAATTTTTTTAAGTTGGTAAAATCATTGCAAAATTTGAAATAAACTATTAAACAACTTTTATAAAAATCTCTTTTTAAAATTTGTTGATATTTCAATATTCCAAATTTTTGAGCCAACCTGTATATATTCCTGTGGCACTTCCTGCATCAAAGCTAGTCTTTTGGTAAGGAAAATAAAAAGGACTATTAACTATATTCGTCAGGCTACCACTACTTACTTGTAGTTATTGTAATCATAGAAAGAAGGAAAATTGAAAGTCAGGGAGGGCCATTCGTTAATAATTTGACTTTTTGCTGCTAATGTGCTTAAACAGCATCCAAAAAACATCAACATTGGTAGGTAAGCCATGATTCCTGTAACAAAACAAATAATTTATTTAATTTTTATATATTTGATGTGTAAAAAAAGTACCTAAATGAAATTATTCGAAATTTTTATTATTTTACCTACATTAAACTAGATTGCAATAATTGCAATTATTATTAAATTTCACGATTCTCTAAAGCTCTAAAAAAAATTATTTTTTGGTTTTTACAAAGTATTCCTATACCGGGTTTCACAAGTGTGAATAACGTATACGTTATTCTTATATTCAATTAATAACTTAGGTTTTATTTTTTTAGGATGGCATTTTGTAATCGTATTTTTCATACCCTAAAAATTGTTAGAAAAGGATTGTTTCTGGATCCGCCACTGTAATATAAAATAATAGTCCTAATAAATAAATAAGGTGACACTGTAAATTTAACAACATGCCTTAAGCAAATTTTTGTATAGTGCGATGGTGGTGTAATGGTCAGCATAGTTGCCTTCCAAGCAGTTGATCCGGGTTCGATTCCCGGCCATCGCATAATTTTTTTAAATTTTTACAAACAATTTTCCTTTAAATTTTGTATGTTCTTTTAATCATTGTTATTATTTTAAAAATTAAAATTAATTTCAAATTATTTTTTTTTATTATTTGTTATTAAAATTTTTTAATTAAGCTTTAACGGATATTGTTAGGCAACTATTACACAAATTTGTTATTACAGTTGCATACCATCGTTAACTCCATAGATTATTTATTATACAGGGTGCCCCAAAAATAACTAAACATTATTTTTGTCTGTCGGTTGGTTTTTTCTTCTAAGGTTGGTTTGAATTATATTTAAAGAGTACCTACTAGGTCGGTTTAATTATATAAGTTGCTTGATTACCAGTGTATTAAAATGGCATTTAAAAATCGGAAAAAAAAATTAGGAATAAACTGAAAACCTTTCAAAACCAAAAATCTTTATAACTTCGTTATTCTTAGGAATTTTAAAAAGAGGTTAGTTTTACATTTTACCCCAGCCACCTTTTGGTTTTTTTATGGCCGTCATATTTTAATTTTACTTAGCTAGATAGAAACATAATATAAACAAACATATTATGTAGTAGGTACATAAGTTATATAGTAGAAAAAAAAATTAAATAAATAAATAGATAAATGTGTATGAAGTACTAGGTACTTAGTTTTTTTAAATCCCCAGAAACGAAGTTATAACGGTTTTTAGTTATTTTCAAATATTTTGAGAACCGATGTTTTTTTCAATTTTTAAATTTAATTTTTTTGTTGATAAAAACCAACCTCGTATTATTATTATTACAATATACACATAGAAGGACCCTGTACATTGTACTATGCTCCACACATCAAACCACCACTTGACTTTGATAGAAATAATTAAGGTTCATTTTCAGTCAGTGTCAAGCTAATTTCGTTTTATTTTTTAAAAATAATACAATGTATGTTTTAGTTGTGTTCTAAATTAACACCTTAATGCACAAAAATACTTTTATTTAACTCCCATTTTATTTCATAACTTTAACCGGAAGGCTAAATTTTACTCCACTAGTGGCATTCCGCCCACGGGCTGAAGTTAGCTTTAAGTAAATTTGGAAAAAAAGTGATGTTAAAACTAATTGACAGATGTCATTTGATAAAATATTAAATAAAATTGGCTTTAAATTCTTTGTGGTTGTTAAATAAAATATTGTGTGAAACTATTGGTCAAAACGGTTATAAGGGATTTCTCGAAGGTGGAGTATACTCCACCTTCGAGAAATCCCTTTCTTCCACTAGTCGCACAATATACTAATATACTAATATACTAATATTGCATTATTTTCAGAAAATTTGACGAAATTAGCTTGACACTGACAGAAAATTAACCTGTAGTATTTCTATCAAAGTCACGTGGTGGGACTTTGATGTTTGGAGTCTTCTACATACTACACATCTATAAACGGTTGCTATAAAAATTATTTTTATCAGGCAACTGAGGTATTATCAAAAAACCTGTAGTATTTCTATCAAAGTCACGTGGTGGGACTTTGATGTTTGGAGTCTTCTACATACTACACATCTATAAACGGTTGCTATAAAAATTATTTTTATCAGGCAACTGAGGTATTATCAAAAAATCAAAGTTTAAATAACTAACTAAATAACTTTTTATTTTTAAAACGTCATTAAAAAATTATGTTTTATCTTTTACACATATGTATAAATAAGTAGTTTTAAATCATTCAAGTTGAATTCAATTTTTAAAACATAAATTTCATTTATTTTTTTTTATTAAAATAACCTTTTATATACTGTGGTTTGGTGTAGGCACGCTATTTTCGAGAGGTATTAAAAAATAAATATAAAACGAGTATTTTACAAATTATTACCAATAGGAAGTAAACTTTCATTTGGTTTAAGACTATTTATACTTTTAAAGTTGGGACCCTTTATTATAGTAGCTCTCCAATAAAAAAAATATTTGGAATTTGACCGTCGTTTTTATTATTTTTATTATCTTGACTTAAAAACAAAATTCGAACTGACGATGTTTTGTATTTGAAGTCCAACTACTAACATGTTCTTTTAATGATCTTAGATGCATTTTTATTAATGTTTGATATTTTTTTAATACATCAAAATAACATTTAATTTAATAAACTAGCTTGTTGACACTGATCTGATTTAATACACTTAATTACCTTTAAACAACAAATTAAATATTATATTTATATAATGTATGGGTAATATGCCTGTATAAGTATAATAATGATAAATGGGTTTATTGTTAATTTACTCGTAATTTACGAGTTAATGAAGGAATTTCATTAGTAGATTATTTTATGAGAAATTATTCAGGAGGATGAGGTTTGCGTATCGATCTGATGTGAATAAAATAATCTCGAATTTAGTACTCCACTTAAATAATTATAAATATTTTTTTTAAATAACAAACTCGCTTTTTCAAAATTATTATAATATATATATACAATGTATATTATACATACTACTAAAATCTGACATTAATTATGAAATCGACTCATCACTGACGCTTAGCATAGTATAGGGAATTATGAGTTCATAATGCGCGGGTGGGTATGATTTACGGTAACCATAATTAATGAAAAAAAATCAAATAATTTCCATGTGTTAATAGGAGTAAGTTATAGTTAATTATGTATCAAGTTTGATAAACGCCATTTTATACACGAATTTAATTTAGGCACGAGCGAGCTTGCGAGCGAGTTCTTAAATTAATGAGGGTATAGAAAAGTTTATAAACGAGGTGCCTACTATCCTTTTTCTAAGACAAATACTTATTATTATCTTAAAATGATTTAAATCAAATATTTTATAGAGCGTTATCTATGAAACAATAGGAGAATCTGTGTGTCACCGTCAAATGTCAAATTTTTATATATTATAAACACAGATTATAAAGGTTATAAATCGAAATGCAATTCTTGAAAATGTACAGTTTTTACAGTGAAAGTATAGAAAATGTTTTATGAGCACTTTGCAGTGGAGTCCTTGCCCGAATTTAAGTTATAGTTTACTGCCGGCGAAATTAAAAGGAAACTATTTAATACTTTGGTATTTTTGTATTGAGATAATAAAATAATTTTCACATTTAGTATTATGTTACAAGAAAGGCACTTTATTTTAACGATTGTATGACATTTGACAACTGTCAACTAACTTAAAACTAATTTCAGCCCGTGACTAAAAACCTGTTGCTAACTTCAGCCCGTGACTAAAACGCCGTAAAGCAACAACTTGTCAATGGTCGTTTTAAAGGTGGGAGTAGAAAAACAATTTAAAAGTTTTAAATATGGCGAATGCGCCGTGGTTAAAATTTCCAAAAACCTTAAATACTTTGGGTTGGAAAGTATTTTCTAGAACAGTCCGGATAGTTTTGAAATATTTTAAATAAATCCAAAAAAAACTAAAATAAAAACTTCAAATGGACGCCAAATAAAATATTTATTATTTTTTCATTACTTATGCATACATACTATAGTATTTCGTATTTCTTCTTAAATAAATGTTAAAATTTAATTATTTAATATAAAAAATTACACCGAAAAAAACGAACTAAGCCCACGTTATAGACCAGTTCACTATTTTAAAAAGTACGTATAAAATGCACCCTCTTGTCCAGCCCTACATTAACAACACGTAATCTCCAATCCCAGACATTTAACAGCTAATTCTTATGTAAAATTGTCCCCTGAATCCGAAAAGATTGTTAAAAATTATGAAAGTAGAGCAGTTTTTGAGATATATTTAATTTCATATTGTATGAAAAATTACTATATCTTAAAAACTGTTCTACAAATTGCTGTTGACGAGAAATATTAGTGGCTGCTTTTTCGCTATGACAATTAGTCAAAAATAACTTAGAATTAGTATTTTTTGACTAATTAGTTTTTAGAGAGCATTAAGTAGTGGTAAAATTATTGAAACATAGTAAAGTTACCGACAAAATTAGACGATTTTTGTTTACTTATTAATTAAGTTTTGTCATAAAAATTACAATTTTGAAATAAAATGGCGATTATTTCTAAAACTACAATATTAATGGGGAATTAAATTTACTAACCGAAATAACTCAATTTAAAAATTTAGAATAAATTTTCACATGATAATTGATAGGTACTTTTTTAGTAGAAAATTACAACAAAATAAAAATTTTCAAATAGCTTTTGATAAAAAAAATTAAAACATCACAATTATCTCTGAAACTACAATATTTATGCGAAAATAATAACTTTTTTGTAAATTTTGCAACAAATAATATGTAAGTTTTGTTAAAAAAATGACAATTTTAAGATAAAATCGCAATTTTCTCTGAAACTGCCATATTTATGCGATAATTTATAAGAAACTTTTTTGTAGACCACTAAATTTACTAACAATTTTTACCAAAATAAATGTCTTTATTAATTGTGCCAAAAGGATGACAAATTTGAAATAACATCCCCCATTAATGGGTAAAAATCTACTTAACAACGTATACTTTTCAATGGATTTCCTTAAGTA